GTGAGACGCTACATACACCATACACATCATACACACTGATCTTTTTCACGTTTTTATTTCTATTATTATGATGATTTTATGCTTAAAGAATAGAATAGTATATCAGGTAAAAACAATGTTTTTAATAAAGAAAAGTGGGATTGATAAGTATTATGACCTGTATATAGTTATTTTGAAAAGGTACATTTAATCTGACATAACCCTCATTGAAAGACATTCTGATCTACTGAGTATGACTGTAAGTGTACAAATATGACGCATGTACTTTTATGAGGATAAAAGTGTCAAATGTACCTCTAGTGTGACTTAACCACATTACTGGCAGTGGTCAACATCACTCAGACATACTAAGTCTACACCTGGAGGGGAAGTTTCACAATACGGACCCTGAATGGAAAGTGCGGTGTTGCCGTGCTGCAGCATAATAGGTCAAAGGCAGGAAGTGGAAAGAGCAAGAGCAAGACGGTCAAAGTCTGTCTTTGAGCCTTCAGCGTACTCTACATCAATACATCTTTGATTTACTCTGCTGTGACCATGTCTCAGTGATGTTATCGTTCTAAACACTCATTATCGGAGAGCTTACATACAGATTGTTATGTCCTTTGACTGGAACTTCCATACATCTACCGCTAAAACACTCCCAGCACCTGCTGAACACACGTTTAAGATTAACGGGGGAGTTCCTACAGCTAGTCACAAATAGAAACACTGTGGTAAGGAAAACACAACTTTTTTAAGTTTGAAACAGCAGGACTGTGTTACAGGTTTATGTCAGTTGACTAAGACATACTAAGTCTTAGTAAAATGTTAGCTAAATATAGGGTATAGGTTTCACAAATGGCTTCCCAAGGACTTAAAGCACAGCAGAATTCTTCAAGCTAGTGAGGTAGCAGATACAGAAGATAAATGCAAAGTCAAACCTGATGAAGAAACAGCTTAAAAATGCGACTAGAAGACTTTTTGTGTGCTTTATTTTACAAAGTCTCATCTAGCCGACAAAACATGCCATCTGAATCCATCAGGCCCAGGATTTCTGGATTCCAACTCTACCCTATTATCAACCGCCTACCGATGCTAATACTTTCTTATGAAGAAGGAAGGCTCCTCTTAAAATGCAAAAAAGTCAAATCTCTTATCCTGGTGTGGCAGCAGAAAGTGAATAAACCTCATTGGTACTGTCATCAGTACCTAGCACTGTTAGTTTTAATTAATGGAAATTCAATACTGATAAATAAACATGAGAATCCTGCTTTAATGGTTAAATTTAAAAATACCCCAAAGCAAGAACAAAAATGTAAAGGGGGAATGAGCTAAAGGGGCATAAGGGATTTAGAACTTGATGATGTCATGTTAAATGCTGGTAAAACAGGCTAAAAATCTCCTATATAAAACAGCAAGATCAATACATCATATAATTATTTGACATTAATGGTCATTCAATATTGCTCATGCCTTATGTTACATGAAGTCACAGCAAACAGCAAAACAAGTTTAGAGAAAAGGAAGTCTAGAACATATGAAGATTACACAGATGATGAATGTAAAAAAAAAAAGTTATTTTCCTTTACAGTTCAGTATTTGTACATTTCACATATTTTTGCAGATTTTTCTGTGGAATATAACTCCAAATTAAAAATTTGTGGAAAACTAACCTATTGACATATTTTGTCATACCCAAAACATTTGAAAGACAATGCAGCTTGGGAAGCTGAAACATGTAGCCGCAATGCTACATGACAAGCTACTGCTAGCATTAGCAAAGCAGCTAATCCAGGTGTGTCAGTCGTTTTCATTGGCACCGATTGGTGTAGATAAGGAAGATTTTGAAAGTTAGCTTCTATATGGTTATACCAAATCTGTTCCCACCGTTCATATTAATGTATATAGAGTATATTTGGTGTTTGAACTATTATAATATTCATGTTTAGAGGGGATCTCTGGTATTTGGGAATTTTCGCTATTAACAGGTGGCTGTGGTCCCTAACACTTGCAAATACAGAAGTCCATTGTATTTGAAATAACGATGTATTCATAAGCAGTAATATTAAAGTTGCTAAGTTGATCAGAGGAAAGGCAGTGAGCTCTTTGGACAAGCATCCTGTGTGTATGGGTGCATCGTACAAGAAAATTTTATTTCACACAACAAAATGTCACACAACAAACAAGGAGAACCAAAATAGAAGATGAGCTCAACTCAAGCTTATCTGCAGAATCTGTTGAAGAGAAGCAGCAAATGCAAAAGCTGCTGAGGTATCATAGGGACATCACCTATGGATGTACCGAGAAAGATTACAACAGGATAAGAAAGAGGTTACAGAAAACACCCAGAGAAGCATTTAGAAGAGGCTTTAAAAATACAAATGATAGAGTAAAACAAACCTATCTTTGTGTTCCAACTGCCTTTAGATTGATTGAATTAAAGTAAAAAAAAAAACAAAAAAAACCCACAAAGTTATTTAAGGTCAGAAAGCCTGACACCGAATCTATTTCTCATCCATGCTGCAAAGTTTAAGTGAGCTTGTGTCAGTTTTTTGTCATGGGCTTCTTATTTGATTTTGTCAGATGGCTGAGACTTGGAATCAACAAGATGTTTAAACATCACAATAACAAACACAGAACAAGATGTCAACTTAAGGCAGAACACAAACTAAAGCTCATTTATGGACAAAAAAACAGCCAAAGCTTTACCGATTCTGTCAACAAGAGTTGAATGTGCTAATTCTAGCTCATCAAGAATTATACTAGAAGCTTTCTGATGAGTACAAGAACGACTGAATAAAAAAAGTGTGTGGTGACAGTGCAACTTCCTGTAGCACATTCACCCAAACATTAGTGGCTGTCTATGTTTCTCTTTGAGCCCGTATGTATAATTTTGATCCTGTGTAGATGGAATAAAATCCACATTAAATTCAATAATTTCCACGGGAATTTAGTTTATAAAAATAACTGCAGCTCTATGTCATATAATCAGAATAATCCAGAAAAAGAAGAGTTGAAACAAACCAACTAAAGGCCAAACTTAATATGACATTCGAGGCCAAAGATGTTGATGGAAACCAATCAAAAGAAGAGACCTCTTTCCTGGTTGAATAGTTCAACAAAACTCTCCTTCACATAGCTGAATCAAAACAACTCTGCATCATCATATGATTACACCAGTTTCATATTCCTTGCAATGACCAGTAGAAGGTGTTAACCAGCTACTGTGGCTTTTCTTATATTGTGGCCTGGTTTATTCTGGTTGCAGATAAACTTTGCCTTTTCCTTTCGCCCTAGACAAACACATTCACCACATCCGTAGGATGGCTCTTTTGACAAAATACTGTAAACACACGGTGCTATGAAAGAGCATTTCTCCCCTTACAGATAATGTTTTAAATTTTTAAGATCTTAAAAAATGTATTATACCAAAATAACCAAACAAGAAGCAGTCTTAAAACGTTTCAGAAAGCTGCCATATCTGAGTCCAAATAATGGCAGTCCCAAAGAGTCAAGAAGTCACTCAAATAGAACCTGATTGACAATCTTCAATGGGGAACAAATCTGTTCTTATTATTTTACAGAACTGTAAGATAAAGTCATCCAATCTGACATGGATCCCTGGCCGTCAGCAGGGGCTTGGCTGTCAGTTTTTATTAATCTATAGGAGTTATGCTGTACAACAAGTTTGTCTTGCTGTACAAGATAAACTATTATTTCCAAGGAGCAATCTGTTTCGCAGTCAGTAGAGAATAAATGCAAAGAAAACTGAAGATGTCAGAGGTACAAAAGTGACATTCATGATACAACCAGGATACAAATACAAGCTATACTTTCCTATCTGGGCTTATCAGATCACATTAACTGGTAATGTGAACATTTGTACCTTTTCCTGATGCACTTCATTATAATATATCTGGAAGCAGAGATAAAAAAAAATAAGGCAGGGTGATAGGTACTTTTTCTCGAACCTATATAAAAAGACCACAGACAACGTATATGAATTTCATAGACAAAGCTTTTGCAAAAGGAGAACTCTCCATCAACAACCTCTCCAGGCCGTTCACAGAGAGTTCTGATCTCCTTCCACGCGAGCCCCTGTTTTATTGTCAAAGCAGAACAGCCAAAAAAAAAAAACAACAAAGGTCGTAAAACATTTAACCTAAACAAACCAGCAACTCAGTTCCAGGTGTGATATCTGATCTACGATCTGAGCCCAGTTCAGCTCTAGGTCAAACTGTCAACAAAGAGGGAGGATAAACAAGAGACAAAATACGACTGCTCACAGGCAGTTAGGAGGTATTCTGGTTGATAAGATTTAAGGTCTGGGAAACACAAAGTTAACTGTCTCACATGAAGATGAAACAGTCAGTCGTAACCTCCAGGTCAGTTTATACACACATAAGGAAGAAACACTTTAAACTAAAAATCACAATAACATTAGACTGAAAGTAATAACAAAATGATAATACCAAAAATCTCTATCACAGGGAAAGCAGTTGTTGACTGTGTGAGCAAAGGCTGCTTACTTTCAGAAACCCTAAGGGATTGTTTGCAGGAAATCAGGTGCACAAGAGAAAACACAAGCAAAAGCAAACACTTCTGTTCACAAAACCTGTTTGTGTTTGCTGGTGTGCAGAAGCATGGGCAACCACTGACCACGGTGAAATGTAGTGATTGTGAACTTAAACCTGTTTCGATATCGTGATCCTTAAAAAAAAAAAAACACAACAATCTGCAGTGTTTGGATCCTAGATTGCACAATAAGATGATAACAACCTAAAGTATTAAAGTAATTTGGTCTCCAGCTTAAGTCGACCCATCTTGCTGTTACATTAATGATAGGGCCCCTCCTTAAATCAACAACACAATGACAGAAGCTGGCTTTTAGTTGGTGTGTACATTGGGTGGAGTATGGATGTTGTCTGTAGAGTCGGAGCCACCACCTATGGTAAACACACGGCATTGCTTAACCATTCAAGTCTAGCCTCATCATTGGTCCACACAATATAAAAACAGCCTCCACCTTTTGTCCCCACACCGTGTGCATCCGCCGCTCCAATTCTCCCCTGAACTACGCTAAGGACCAGACCGGCTGCAATCATGAGTCACCTGGAGATGGCAATGGCCACCCTGATACAGACCTTTGACCAATACGCTGGTTCTGATGGGAAGAAGAGTACGCTGAGCAAAGCTGAGGTGAAGACTTTGGTAGAGAAGGAGCTGCCTGGGTTGCTCAAGGTACGTTGCTCACCTGCAGAGGGATGCCTGTGTGCATCAGGGTGGAAACAGACAAGATAATCATGCAGAGTTCATAGCTTTAACATTAACAGAGTTTCTAAACGTCTATTGAGGCAAGGCATCATTGCTAGGGAGCATATTTTAGACTACGGTGCAAAAACATAAAACCTTACTAAGTACTTTTTTCTGGTGCAAATATCTTAGTACATTTGAAATAAGACAAAACTAACTTACAAGTCGCTTTTCAGCGAGATAGAGGAGACTGTTTTAGGTAAATAATTTCCTAATACCTATTTTAAAAAGTCAGAGTTTCACTGGAAGATTTTTTCACCTACGACAAAACATTTTTCACCTAAGTGATTATCTGCCAGTGGATCTAGTACTTTTTCATTTATAATTGACTTAAAACAAGCTCCTATATGTTGCTGAAAAGTTACTTGTGAGGTAATTTTGTCTTATTTCAAGTGAACTAAGACATACCAGAAATTATATGAAAAATAGTCAGTCGATGTACGTCAAGGCTATTGTCTCTGTAGGGGTTATTGTACATTGAGACAACTTTTCATTGAATTCCATCTTTAAAGACCTTGTATTTATCTAAAATATACCGATTTAATCAGCTAAACGTGGTTCTAAAAGGACATGGTGAAAGCAAACCTGCCAGTAAAGTTTTTATTTGCTTTTCCTGATGTGCAGGGAGCGAAGAACCCCGACGAAGTGGACAAGTTCCTGAAAAATCTGGACTTAAACAAGGACTCTGAGGTCGACTTCCAAGAGTTCGTCATGCTGATCGTTGTCCTGACCTGTGCAATACACGGCCGCTTCTGCAAATAGTAGAGAGCGAGGAGCCAATGAAGCCCCGGGGCCACCATCGGCAGTAGCATGAAAAACTCCTTGTACTTACAGTTACTTTGAGGCAAATAAAGTGATTGTATCTTGTGGTGTAACGTTTTTGTTAAAAAGTTGTACTTAGTAGGATGTTGGCAACAAATGAAAGTACTATAAGGAGAAATAAACAATGAAAAAAGGGGAAGGAAGCTCTTGTAGTGCGTTGTCCGGCGTTGTGGAGCAATTTCTTGGGAGGATGAAACTGAAAACTTTGTGCACTAGATTCTGATCTGACAAAAAACCTGCTGAAGTTCCTTAAACTTCACTTCCTCACGCTTCACTTCTTAAAAATGTTCTCAACAACTGACTCACGCAACTCGACTGCCACTAAAACAAAGAGATTATAACTGGGTCTCATAAAACTTTCAGTATATTGTTGAAATGTATTTGGTGTGTTCCACTCCATTAAAAATGAAGACAGGTGCAAATCAAACCAAACATTTTGCAGAACAAAACAAAAGGAAATGTAATTTACATGGAATTTTTCACTAGAAAATATTTGGCATCATAAATACCATAGCCATGCTCTTCTCAAGCCCGTCCTAGATCTTTTATTTTCAAAGCCATAGACTACACACTCCGTCCAGACAATTCATAATGAGAGTGTGCTCAGGCCTGTACATTGTGTTCTCTCTCACATCAGATTACCAGAGATTGCAAACTTCCTCATTGAAATACTCAGACTTCCTCATGCCAACAAAGTCGTCTTTCAGAAGTTTCAAAGTTGGTCTGCTGTCTGGACATATAAGATTTGAGTCCCAAAAGATTTTTTTGGGGGGGGTCATCTGATCTTAAAACAATTCAAAGCTCTAAGTGCATTTCACTTCAGAGGTGTAAAGTTTTGATGCTTTATCTCCTAAAGCTCCACAAGTCGCTTCGTTTCACCAGACGCACGGCTTGGATGGAAACGGACCCTTGCAAATATCTCAAGCGAGCGGTCGAGCTGTGGTTTCTTCTCTGATGCAGCAAGTAAGCCACAAACAAACCTTTTTCCCTCCCCTCAAGCTGTTTCTTAGCAGGGCTATTTTTAAACTTGGGTGGGTGTTCAAAGTCAACACACAGCAACACCTAAAGATCTTCTTAAGGTTTAAAGTTATCTTGTGGTAAAGAATTAATAGACAATAACTCCCTGAAGATCAGAGGTGCTGATATCTGACCTCTCAGTGACTAACAGTAACAAAGCACATTTACTTGAGTTCTGTACTGAAGTACATATTTTGAGTTTCTTTACTTGAGTATTTATTTTTGGGGGAACTTATGACTTTCTCTCCACTACATTTCAAAGACAAACAATGTACTTTTGACTCCACTCCATTTCTAGGAAGCTTGATGTTACTTGTTCTTTTTAGCTAGCTTTGTAGCTAGCTAAAACAAGCCGTTTTCTTTACTGAAATGCTCCTGAAGAAGGGGAGCCAATCACAGCCTCCACTCACACCTGGGATGTGGAATTATCCTCGTTAAGTGTGGGAGCTGGGCTCCCGCTTTCATTCAAACTCAGCAATGGAGATGGTTGGAGAAGCATTGTAGGAATTACCTGGTTCAAAGAAATAAGTTAGCTAAGAATCTTAGAAATATGAAATTGAACATTGTTGATTTCGTGCAGAAACATTTGGGAAGCGGAGTGTCATGAATTGAGCTGAGAGGTGGTGAGGTAGATGCCGTGGACCCAGTTTATGGAGAAAATGATGATGGTTTAATGATGAAATTGACAAATACAAAAATCCAGGCAGCACAAAAGAGCAGGAGACTAGGAGCTCAAGTCTGGCAGCAACTGGCAAAAACAGCTAGAGACGACAGACACGACAAAGACCCAAGGGTGGGATAAAATACACAGAGGGTGATCAGGGAAATGACACACAGCTAGGAGCAATCAAGGGATAGACAGGACAACACAGAGACTCAATAGACACAGAAACTTTCAGTTCTCAACAAAGAGGATATCAGGCCATATTGTATTTCTTAAGGCACTATAACCTGTACAACAGGATCTAATTCCTTTTATTTATTTTTATTTTTGGCATGGTGGTAATGCTTCCTTGAGTTGTTTGCTAACCACCAATATAATAGAAGACGATGACAATGAAGACAGTTGGAGAAATTCAAGCCAAGGCTAGTAAAAAGTAGCTGTAATTTTTTTAAAAGAATTTTTATGCTTAAATTTTTACAGGTGGTGCAGACATTTTGTAGCTGAGTGGTGCTACATGCTAATTCATCATTGGGATCAGCAAGTTACAAAGTTCTGTAAAAGCACTCAGAAAACAAGATGTACTTAAATTAGAAAGTTTGAATTAAATCATTTTGAATAAGTTTTTAGTACTTTTGAATACTTAAGTATTTTCAAAAGTAAGTACTTCAGTACTTTAACTTGAGTAAACTTTTGACCGAGTAAGTTTTACTTTTAGTCGAGTAAGATTTGACCATGAGTAATATCACTACTTTTATTCAAGTAGTGTGCAGTAGTGCTTTTATTCAAGTCCGTCGTTACTGACCTGTAATATTTTTCCACCTGATTACTGTACCGGTCCTCTGACTGAAGGGGGTCACGGTTAGATCAGCGTCTTTGCTAATCCACCTTTATGATACTTTCTGTTTTAGATTCAGGTCATCGCCCTCTCGACCCACCACGGAGCAGCGGCCAAGTGACACACTTTCTCCCGCAGAGAACGGTTGTGTAATTAACAAATGTCGGTGCTGCCCTCTAGTGGCAAAGGGCATATTTCTCCTCGTTTTAAAGAAGTCAGATCAGCGTTTGCGGTAGAGTGGAGTGTTTGCCTTGGCGGCTCTCGGCCTGAGCTACAGATATCCTGATGACGTCTTGAAGTTTCTGTCGCAATGTGCCTGTCCGGGTTGAGACTGAGGCCTCGCTGGGCCACTTGTGAAACTCAACTGGCCCGTAATAATCGGCTTGAAGGGTCATAAAGTTCAAACTTTCCCCTCACCACTTCCTCTCCCCTGTCCAGGGCCATTACGGAGGCTTATGGGGATTAGGTGTCCAGAGACGGGGGAAGAGGATGTGGCCCTTGAGTCAGGAGAGAAGCAGTTTGACTGGGCCACAATAATACACACCTACCACTAGATACTGATATTTCTCTGTCAGTGGTGTCCAAGCTTTTTGGCCAGTAAGATACTGGTGGGCCACAAAGTTCATTGTATTAGCAAATTGTATTGTGTATCTGTGGTGAAACACGGTGGTGGAAGCATTGTGCTATTGGGATGATTGTTATCACCAAGGACAGATAAACTGGACAATATCAAGTGAATGTTATTTGTGTAGCACATATCAGCAACAAGTGCTTTATATGTTAAAAACACAACACAATAAGCAGTTATGAAAAAAGCAACAAATATATTAATCAGCATACCAGTTATTATTAATCAGTGGCAAATTGAAACATTTTTAGCCTTGATTTAAAAGAAGTCAGTGTTTCTTCAGTTTTGCAGTTTTCTGGAAGTTTGTTCCAGATTTTTGGCACATAAACCCTGAGTGCCATTTGGGAGGACGGCTGGAGTTAAGAGTAGGATCATTCTGGAAGAAAACTTCTTGTAAGTTCCGACAAACCTGAGACTGTGGCAGAGCTTCATGTTACAGCAGTGCAACAACGATGAAGAAAAAAAAAATAAATCATGTTAAAAAAGGCTAAGGATGTATAAAGTTATTTTTGTCTTCCTAGTATCTCATATGAGGCAGGTTGAAACATCACCTGGAGTCACAACACACACCCACACCCACACGTTTAGCACCTCAACTGATCTGACATCGTTTAGCTCAGCATATTTCCATTAATATAAAATGGTTGAATCATTTTGTACAGCAAAGTTTTCCCCATTGGCTTCAGCCTCAACCTTTTACAGGATTTTGGTGGTCAGAACTTTTGACAACAGGGACACAGATCTACAAGCGTACGGCTGTTGTACATGCTGCTGAACCCCGGTCCATGTGAGGAGACAGACAAGCACAGTCATGAATAAGTCATTCAGTTTTAAAGCCACACATCCCAGGTCATATGATCCACCACGGTGTCCCGGCTCATCTCGTGGCCTGACATCCGGAAGGAGAAAACGCGTCGGTGAGCACATTGCGACTCTTTGTCTCTGCTCTGTTTATCTGTACATGGAGCGTCATTTGGTTTTTGTACCGATGGACCTTGGTAATTCTGAGACTTTTGCAAAAACATCTTAACAGACTGGTTTTACATGACAGCTGTTTGACTGTGGATTACATAACTTGTGTCAGCAACGTAGAGCTGACAAAAATGAGAAAAGTCTGGTGTGGTATGAATTGACGTATTGCCTGTATGAAACATCCCAAACAGGAAAACTCAGTGTTGTACCTGTAAATGTTTGGTACGTATCCACCGATAACTACAAAGGCACAAAAGTATAACCTACTTTTAGAGGTTCTTAATAATAGCACATTATTAAGAACTTTGACTTTTGGAAGTGTGAAATAAGAAAAACAGTCTGATATACTGATATCAGATTGTTTGAATGAAGAAGAGAAGTTGAGATAAATCAGACAAGATGAGTAACTGCCATTTCCTTTATATATCAACGGGCAAGTAAATTCCATGTTACTAATATTTCCGTCATGTCAGCCTGAAGGGAACCACACACCTCACCACCCTACTGGTCCGACCGGTATTCTCTGAAAGAGGTGCAGATTGAAAGGAATGCACTGTAAAAGAAAAAAAGGCACAAGGTTTCCTGAAAACAGAACATCAAGGATAACATATGCAACATACTTAAAGCAGTACAGTTTAACTATATAACTCATTATACTGTCTAAAGTCAGGCATATAAACTTTAAGGGATACTCTTTTTGTTTTAGCAGTCAAAATCATGAGAAGCATTTCAATCCAGCAATAGGTGCTGAGTGCTGAGTAACTCCTGATCAGTTTGCATTGCAAAGCGGGAGGAAATCATGCAATCGTCTTTAGTCAACCAAAAGCTCATACTAATAAGGGCGTCGTTTCCTTTCACCCGGGAACCTGTTTCCAGAAACCGACCTGCTGGCTGTGTGCGCGGCCTTTAGGTTAAAGCGTGGGCTAACAACCGGTTG